TTTAAAAAAAACGGCAAAATTAAAAGACGATTGATTTTCCCAACAAAGTTTTAAATGCAAGAAAATTAAAGGTAACAGATCAGTCGCAAATTATTAACTCATATTGTGAAAAGAAGTGAGCGTTTAATTTCTTTTATTTATCTCATGGAATGCAAGCATTTAGCGGCATATCGTCGATGTGGGCACTTTGTGGCATAATAGGTCTTTTAAATGAAATTAATAACTTACCTTCTTATATTCGAAAACAGTTCTACGCTTTAGAAAAAGCACATCTCCGATTGAAATTCGCATTATAGTCATACTGAGAATAAATGAATTTTTCTTCCATAAAATTGAACAACTAAAAAGAATAGACAAGATTTTCCTAACATTAATAAACCCTGTAAGACTTAAAAGAAATAACGTTGATGCAAAAACAGTACATTGATAATCTTTAAAAAGTATTCAAGATTCTCGGCTTTGATTGAAATATGACATTCACACACATTCTTTAATGCCGTTTCCCTACAGAGAAAATTCAGGATTTTTTAAGGAAAATATTTATGTTTCATGACTTAAGAAATGGTTGATTTCTTTTTTAAATGGGTTAAAGTAAAAATAAGCACAACAATTATGAAAAATGAATTAAAGTTGTACTCAGAAAACTGCGAGAATTTAAATTTATATAAAGATATGTCACAGAATACAATCACTTGGCGGCATATCGTCTGTGTGAGCACTTTATGGCATAATGAGTACTTTACATAAAATTGATATTAATTAACTTCATTATTCAAATAGAATTCTACGTAAGGGGAAAGCATGTAAACAATAGTATATATGCGATGAAAATTCGCATTATTGTTATAAGGGAAGAATTATAAATTATTTTTCTATAGAATTTGAAAACAACAAAATTTGACGAATTTCCCTATATAAAATATCAATAACCCTCTAAACCTTAATAGAAACAATGTTGATACGAATACAGTATAATTATGACCTTTAGAAATTATCCAAGATTCTTGCTTTGTTTGAATTATAATAATTCTTAACATTTTCTTTATTACCGTTTCTTTATAGAGAAAATATCATTTTGTTCATGAAAATGTATTTATTTCAATAACATGGCAAAATAAAAGACGACTGATTTTCCCAACAAAGTTTTAAATGCATAAAAGTTAAAGGTAACAGATCAGTCGCAAACTATTAACTCATATTGTAATAAAAAAGTGAGCGTTTAATTTCTTTTATTTATGTCATGGAATGCAAGCACTTAGCGGCATATCGTAAATGATACGTAATAAATTTGTTGTCTTTGAACATTTTCCAGGGGGTAAATGCCATGCATCATATAGTAAAAGTTAAATATATAAGTGCAATATTAATCCTTTATACATAATATTTTTCTCAATGTCTGAAAAAAGGTTTGCACATGTGTAGAGAGGGTCCTTAAACACGTTTTATTTCGTCAAGTGTTATCCCTCGGCTTCGGTAGGGTGGTTCACTTTGCAATGCATTCAGGAAAGTCATTCGAGATTTATCATCAAAGACGTTCAACGGCACTTGTTTTGATCGTAAACAATGACAAATTATAACCACTTTATTTTAACCTCCTGAAGTATTGTCCATGAAGTGAATTTGTAACGCAAACAGATAAACAGGATTTTTTTAGGAGGGGTGGGGGGGGGGGGAGGAGATTATCAAACACAATAAATAAAAAAAATATATATACACAACCCAGAAATCTCTTATCATGAAAAAAAAACCCCACAAACTCCTTCAAGAGAAAAATAGTTTAATGAGATAAAGTCTTTTAAATAACATCAATTTTATGATTGTATTTAAAATTGTTTTATAGTTTGCCTCGTATGTTGTGTGTGTGTGTTTTTTTTTATTTATTTATTTATTCATTTTATCTTTTTATTTATTTATTTTTAATTTTTTTTTTTTGCTTATCATAAAAGAGACCCTCTAATAGGCTCTATACATGTAATCACATTTTATTCCACAGGAACAGTCAACACGCCAAGGAAGACGACAGAGTCTGCAGGGATCACATGTAAGTTATGTTTACATACATGTTGTAAATTTTCCATTCAAATATGACGAGTTTTCCCAAGAATTGAAGAAACTCGGTAAATTCCACAATAAGCGCCTGGTACTATTGGATGAAAGGTATTAAGTGTTACCCCAACAACTGAAATCGCTTCCTGTTGTCTGTTGTCTTGATTATAGTTAATATCAGTATATCATTAACTTATTTGAAGTAATAAATATAACATATTCCATTCTAAAAATGCGGTCGTAATACATTACAAATTAAACTTCTCTCTTGCTCTTTTATCTCTCTTTCTCTCTCCCCATTGTATGGCATATTCAGAAGGGGTTGCTCGCGGGGGTTGGAACTTTTTAACTAATTCTATATCAAAAATTATTTTAAACTTCTTAAAAGAAGGATATGGAAATAACGAACAGTATTCAATCTCAACGTCTATTAAACAAAAATACAAATAAGAGCAGAGCAAACACGGACCTCCGAAACATCAGAGGTGGGATCAGGTGCCATGGAGGAGTGAGCATCCCCTGCCGACCGGTCACACCCGCCGTGTGCTCGTTGTCATGATCAGGAAATAACGGAAAAAATCCGTGGTCAATTCAGTGTATAAATAATGGACTAACAATTGGTATGAAAAACGTCAGTCAGCATTTCATTCAATGATAAATTGTATTTGCCGACAAGGTCATTGTATCGACCATAGAATTTACGAAATGATGACTTTAAAAGAGACTGTTGATATTCTTGTTTCATCAACTTGCTTGTTAATAATTTACCTCGTTTAAGAAATTGTTCATACGTAGAGCATGCTCTTGCGTATCGAATCAACTGAGATATAAATACTCCGTATGCAGTTAATGAAGGTATATTGTTGTATAAGTAAGGGAAGTTGACGATAGAAAAGTTAAAGTCATCACGTTTATCATATAGCCTGGTTGTTAGATTACCATTAGTGTCTTTTTCAAGTTAAATATCCAAGTATGAAGCAGAAGTGTCGGACTCTGTGGTATCTTTTATCTCAAGCTCACCAGGATATATCGTGTCGACGTAGGAATGGAAATTATCATTATTAATTGACAATACGTCGTCGATACATGTATATGATATATATATATATATCTATATGTCGAGTTGAAGGCCACAGCAAGTGTTTTCTTCTTTTCACGTAAAAATATTTAAATTTGCCGTGTTTTTCTAGTAAGCTTACTGTGAAATTGATTTGAAAAACATTTTCGTGTATACTCACGCGTAGAAATATACACGGAGAAACGTGCGTTAGCGTGACGTCACAATGAGACAGCAGCGACATAAGTTAAATACAATAATATAGGACAGCGAGAAATTCAAATATTGAGTACATTTTAGTGCCTCCAAACAGGTAAAATGAAAATATAAGGAATGTTTTTCAGTTTAGTGTGAATTATTGGTGTGTGAATCACACAGACTTGCACATAGGCATATTTTTCATGAAGCGCTAAGATAATTTACATAAACAATTTCAAAGAGGCCAATATGGATATTTTTCTGGTGAATAACAAACCATATTCAACACCAAAAGAGTCCATAATTGTTTTATTATATAGTCTGGATTTGAATAGATAAGACATTGAAGACTGTATGACGACACCATTTTCATTTGCGATCTTCCATTGTTGAAAATTAAAAACAAAATCTCCAGATTACTGTTTGTAGCCTCCGTGTTTTCCTTTCCAAGTTTCGCTATGTGTGAGACGTCAAAATGTTAAAAAATAATCCTGAAATAGGTTTGAATAATTGTTTTCCTGCACAGATACGTAGCTCGCTGCGGCCGTTGCAACCATTGTTTACAACGTTGTTTGATATTTTGATTGTGACGTCACAATGCCGTTGCACGCGCATTGACCCACCGATGAATACGGCCTCAAATCCGGTGAATATGTAGTGTTATGAACTGTTTGCGTTTGTATAGATTATATAGGGACTATAAATAGACTATATAATAATGATCTTTAAGTGAATAAAGTCGCTGTCAAATAACATGTACAGTTGAATAAATTAACCAATATTGATGATCTGTTTTCCGCTTTAAAATTTTAATCCATGATTAGTTTATGGGATCGATTATCATTATGCTATCTATATATAAACTCGGTTGCAAGTAACATTTTTAAGTAAAGCTGAATTCGATTGACTGCGCATGCGGTGTGTGAAAGTGAAATTGAACCAGCAAATACATGTAAATGATTTTATTTATTTATAGGTAATTTGAAAATATTCTAACGCTTTCTTTTAAATTTGTATCAATTTATTTTAACAAAGATTAAATAGTCTGCTTGGTACTGAAAGGAGTTGGTATTGAAAAAAGTTGGTCTCTAACCCCCCCCCCCCCTTTTTTCCCCCGAAATAGGATTTTCGACATTGGGAATTTTTTCTTTCTTTTTTGCTTTTCAACTTTTTCAGGTAGGTAAAAAAAATCTCTGGTTGTCCCCTCCCCCAAGATAAAAGGCCGCCTTTGTGTGTTTTTTTAGTTTTATTCGGTATACCATTTTTTTTTTTTTTTTTTTTTTTTACAAAGGCTACATGTAGAGCTCTGTATCCATTGATGTATCCATCAATGAACTGTAACTATTTTTTTTTGTTAAACTAAAAAAAAATGTAGGGAAATATTAAATGTATTTATCTATTTATGTAGGCCCTATCTATTAAACAAATGAATCAATATGTTGCATTATATTTCATTATGGATTAATTTTGATTTCTTGAAGAATTTCACTCTATATCAGATATAAAATGTTATTTAATTATCTAATTACTGCTTCGTGTGTCAGTGTAACATAAATCACTTAATAGAAGAACATATACATACCCTGTAGTTAAAAGAGGCGATACCACTTGGTGCGAACACTTAATCGGAGCGAACCCACCCATCACCGGGTGAAGAAAATGAGGTGTCACCGTATGAATGAACCGTATTAATTCGAAAATGGCGGGTGTGGGTAAAAGCTCATCAGAAACAGATCCGAGCTACGATAGTGAATCTAGAAAACAACAAAGAGCACAAAGTAAAAGAAATGCAAAAGGGCGTACCACTGACAGTGTGTCTTACTGGAAACGGGGGAGAGCGGAGCATTTTGGAATATTTTACAATGGGGAAGCAACTGAAATGTCCGAGTTCATAAACATGGTGTCAACCAGTGATCTTAAATTTGTAAGAGGGACTCCAACAAGGTATACATATCCTTTAAAGGATAAATCACGGCTTTTATTAGATACACTTGTAGATTTCTCAAAAGATGGTTTGAATATGTCATTTGATATCGATGAGGATAGACCGGATTTTTTCAAAGGAACAATAAAAAAAGAGATAGCAGCAGCCAAGAAAAAAATTTGGGAAAGTGTAAGGAGAGTTGACAGCGATGAAGAAGACAATTATTCTGCAGCAACAATTTCTCGGAAGACTGGATTGTCCAGGTATTTAACAATTTAATCAGGTTCAGTCCAAAGACTATTTCTACCTACATAGCTATTAACATGATTAATAGCTACGTAGGTATTTAAACCTACCCAAAGTAGCTATTTTTACCTACTTTTTGTAATATGTTGACGGTGCGAACTTTAGAGCGAGCGCAAACTCTTCTATTGTTTTAATAAAGATCGGGCTTGTCAAACCGCACGTGACATTCCATGCTTCTAGACTCTGACGTCACATGACATATGCAAGTTGCAATATACTGAGAAAAAGCCTGTTCAACAGTGCTGAGAGTTAATGAAGAACGTTCTATTTTCTATTTATCTTTAATATATATCCATTTAATCAAGGGGAGTAAATTTTTTGTTGAACATTTGCCGTGATTCTCACGAGAACGTAGCTAAAACAAGTGATGCATTGTGCGTCCAAATTACGGCATCAAAAATTCTATCGAATGATGTGCAGAAGTCTGAATTTTCTCTTCGTACAGGCGTTGCTTTAAGAGCTCGCTAATATGTTGACGGTGCGACCGTTGTGGCGAGCGCAGATGTTTATTTTGTTAGAATTTAAATCGGGCTCGTACGTCAAACTGCACGTGACATTTGATGCGTCTAGACTCTGACGTCACATGACGTCGTATGTAAGTTACATTTCCCCTAAAGAACCCTGAACAGTGCTGAAAATAAATGAAGAACGTTTTGTTTGCTATTTATCTTCATTATTTATCCATTAAATCAGGGCATATATACTTTTTAGTACTTTTGCAACTATTTTCACGAGAACGTAGCTTTAACGTAGCTTAAACAAGTGATGCATTGTGGGTCGAAATTAGGCATATAAAAATTCTATCAAATGAATGTGCAGTAGACTAAGTCCAAATTTTCTCTTCGCACAGGCGTTGCTTTAAGAGCTCGCAGTGACGAGTGTCGCTTCGCGACGCTCTCTGCGCTCGCTATTATTTGTATTTTTGAACAAAAGACTAAAAGACGCAACATGGACTGGTGAATTCCATATATTTTCATTGATACAGTCACATTGATAATGAATGCAACAAAAATTTTGGGAAAAAAATGATTACTTTCTGAATCAGTTTCTATGCAAAATTGATAATATATGAAGTAATCATTTTTTGACCAAATTTTTGTCATATCCATCATCATAGCTGCAATAATTTAGCCCTCTCCGTTTTTTTTCATCGATTTTTTTCATCTGATGTTTTCTGGAGAGGGCTACAATTCCACAGCATCTCCGTAATGGTGCAAAAATGTTTTTTAAATATGGGCTACTGCAGGCAGAATAAATTGTTTTTACATTCAACTTTCTTCTAATAAGACAAAATTTTTATTCACTATCGACATCATGGCCCAGGGCTCTCCCACCACTTTTTGGGACTTGGGCCAGGGCCAGGGCCATTCAAATTGAGAAAATTGTTGTCATTTTGGGAAAAGTTGGATGACCAACATTCATTAAAATAAATCCTCAAATTTTGCTTTTCTAGCATTTTGTCATCAATTTAACTCTGGTTTTGAATAAACAGTTAAATAGAACAAACATGGCTACTTAGGATATTTATGAAAGCAGAGCTTTGTCATAACTATCTTTGAGTATTGATATAGCATTTATTTGTATTTCTCAGCCGCTAGTCACATAATCTCAAATTTCCTCCATCACATGGACAATGTTGCTTACTAATTCAGTGCGAGACTTAACATGCTGAAGCTTGGGTATGTTTCTAGTTGCAGCTTACTAATGTCTAAATAAAAAGTCTATTTTTGTAACTCAAACGATGTTTTTTTTGTAGATTTTGTAATAAAACTAACCTGGTTCCCCGAACCAGTTTACGAATGCATTTGGTGTGAACTAATTAATAGTACATACTGATAGAACTAGATTTTTTCATTTTCATTTGTGAGTTGTATTAAGTTTTGTTTTTAGCTCACCTGAGCCAAGGCTCAAGTGAGCTTTTCTGATCACGTTGTGTCTGTCGTCCGTCCGTCCATCTGGCTGTCCGTCCGTCTGTCCGTCCGTAAACTTTTCACATTTTCGACTTCTTCTCAAGAACCACTGTGCCAATTTTGACCAAACTTGGTACAAAGCATGCTTGGGTAAACGGAAATTTAAATTATTAAAATGAAGGGACATATCCCCTCGCAAGGGGAGATAATCAAGAAAAGACAAAATTGGGTAGGGTCATTAAAAAATTTTCTCTCCAAGAACCACTGGGCCAGAAAAACTGAAACTTATGTAGAAGCATCTTTGGGTAGTGTAGATTCTAAATTGTTAAAGTCATGACCCCCGGGGGTAAGGCGGGACCACAATGGGGAATCAAATTTTTACATAGAAATATATAGAAAAAATCTTTGAAAATCTTCTTCTCAAGATCCACTGTGCCAGAAAAGCTGAAACTTATGTGAAAGCATCTTTGGGTAGTGTAGATTCTGAATTGTTCAAATCATGACCCTCGGGGATGGGCAAGGCCACAATGGGGAATCAAATTTTTACATAGAAATATATAGGAAAAATCTTTGAAAATCTTCTTCTTAAGATCCACTGTGCCAGAAAAGCTGAAACTTATGTGAAAGCATCCTTGGGTAGTGTAGATTCTAAATTGTTCAAATCTGACCCCTGGGGATTGGTGGGGCCACAATGGGGAATCAAATTTTTACATAGAAATATATAGAAAAAATCTTTAAAAATCTTCTTCTCAAGATCCACTGTGCCAGAAAAGCTGAAACTTATGTGAAAGCATCTTTGGGTAGTGTAGATTCTAAATTGTTCAAATCATGACCCTCGGGGATTGGGCAAGGCCACAATGGGGAATCAAATTTTTACATAGAAATATATAGGAAAAATCTTTGAAAATCTTCCTCTCTAGAACCACTGGGCCAGAAAAGCTGAAACTTATTTGGAAGCATCCTTTGGTAGTGTAGATTCTAAATTGTTCAAATCATGACCCCCCAGGGATTGGGCGGGGCCACAATGCGGAATCAAAGTTTTACATAGAAATATAAAGGAAAAATCTTTTAAAAATCTTTTTCTTATAAACACTGGTCCAGAAAAACTGAAACTTATGTGAAAGCATCCTTGGGTAGTGTAAATTTTAAATTGTTAAAATCATAACCCCTGGGGATTGGGCGGGGCCACAATGGGGAATCAAATTTTTACATAGAAATATATAGGAAAAATCTTTGAAAATCTTCTTCTCAAGATCCACTGTGCCAGAAAAGCTGAAACTTATGTGAAAGCATCCTTGGGTAGTGTAGATTCTAAATTGTTCAAATCATGACCCCTGGGGATTGGTGGGGCCACAATGGGGAATCAAATTTTTACATAGAAATATATAGGAAAAATCTTTGTAAATAAATCTTCTTCTCACGAACCACTGGTCCAGAAAAGCTGAAACTTATGTGGAGGCATCCTGGGGTAGTGTAGATTTTAAATTGTCAAAATTATGATCAGTGGGTAGGGTGGGGTCACAATATGTATTATAAGGGGGAAATCTAGTAAAGAACAGAATGATCAAAGCTTCTCAGGTGAGCGATGTGGCCCATGGGCCTCTTGTTTGGTTTGTTTTTAGGTCACCTGAGTAAACTCAGGTATAACACAACCAGCACAGAAATCTATCAGTTATGTTATATTCTTATAATTTATGCCTACATCACAGGGGATCCATAAATATTTTAAGGAATGGAAAAATCATTGAAATCTTAGAACCAAGGTTGACATGATTTTCTTGCACCTTAACTGTTCAAGAAAATTTTAATTTTTTGATGGGCGTATCATGCTGTGGCACGGCATTTTATTAAGAAATGGAACAAATGACTTTTCACGATAAATTTTTTAAAATTTTTCTGACACCGTAGAGGTGTGTATAATTTGTTATAAATTTTGTAGCTAATACATACATAATAATATATAATATACATTTGTGGTATCTCTCCATTATATAAACATCCAGAGAGAAAATATAGATCTTCAATTCCGTATGAAGTTTGTCAGAGGTCAGAGGTCAATACGTGACCTAATCACACGGCGCAATAATATCTACCAGTAATAGATTATAAACTGACCTGCTGTACATGTACTTGCTTTTCATGTATAAAAATGAACAAAATAAGCAAGTAAAATGATTAATTATTTTATTTAAAATGTAAACAAGTATTTCATACAGTTTTGGGGCTATTGATTCAACCTGTGTTACAGTGTAGGTCCTACATAGAGAAAACTAACGTTTGTTTACATTTTTTTCACTTTTGTCAGCTGCACAGTCTCTAACGTTCATCCTTATTTTTCGGGTAGATCTTTGGTTAAATTTTCATGATAAACTTTTATTTCATCTTTAAATTCTACTCACGATGAATGTGTAAATCTGTTGGAAAATATTGCAATCGTGCCATGAACAGCGCCAAACACCTCGGCGTTTTCGTAGTTCAATGTAAAGCTGTCGCCACGCAGTGTCTCTGTTTTTAACAGTGTTTTACGAAAAGTTTGCTTTTAGTTACTGAAATCATAAAATGTTTTTGATCAAATTGCAAATTAACCGGCTCGGCCAAGTGTCTCAATCCATCGGATCCATCCATCCTTTTCCAGTGACCGAAATTCCTCCAACTTTTATCATCAAACTTCGGACGTGTTTCTTGTGCCATTTCAGCCCCGATTATCAATTTTCACATTTAAAATTATTCCCAGACACCAATCTGTTCACTTTTTCTGATCACAAGTAGTCTTTCACAAAATATTCCCTTCGAAATAGATCCTTTAACCTAGTGAATTCAAAGCGTAACCGCCATGCAAGCCGATTTACACCTTGCGTCATTTTTCAAAATCTATGACGGACGGTTAGTGCAATAATTAAATTTGAAAATATTCAATTGTCCGTCTAAAATGTATATACAAGTAATAAATAACAAGTTTATAAACTTCAATGGGAATTGAAGGGGGTCGGTACGTGATCAAATCTTCTGTTATTGTTATTTATTTCTTAATTGAATAATTATATTAAATGATGTTATATTTAGTTATCCATGTATATTTTGTTCTTCCTGTCAATATGCAGTTTAATTACAATCTTAATATGGATTTTTCCCAATTTGACACAAATGTCGACAATATTTCCCATTGTAAAGGCCCAGGCCATGGTTTGGCATTAACGATAGTCCGTTAGTCTCAGACTAATACATTTTCATTTGGACTAATAAAATTTGTAGCTGATTAGTCCAAACAGACTAATGAAGTTTTCTGGGGAAAAAAGAATTTACTGATGTTCAAATATTCTCTACAACTTTCACTGGAAAACCCCGTATTTATTTTAAGCTTTCTAGCATCTTGGTGGGAAGTTGAGTAGTTCTGAGTCAATACGGGACTTAATTTTAGGACTCTTTCATATGAAATTAAACATTTTATCGATCATGATTTAGTATGACACATAAAGAAAGATGTCGGATGTTTGGATGATGTAATCATGCATAGAGAAAAACAAATGAGATCAGGAATATGATCGTAGTTCCTGATTGCGCGATTTCAACGAATTTTGGTATAAACATTTCATGTAGAAGCCTTGTTAATTTCAAAAAAGTATAAAAAGTACATTGCAACATTAATTCTATTTATTTATATTTTGACGGACTAGTAACATGAGTAAGAGAAAAGAAGCACTAGTCCGGTCGTACTAAAGCCTAAAACTGTTAGTGTCGAACCCTGCAGGCCCCTTTTAAAAATTGTAGAAAAATCACTTAATATGGTCAAGTTCTCTTGGGTATGACTGAGCCATTTTTGACAGATTTATGTTCCTTGGTTTTAGAAAAAGTTCCAATTATTTGGAGGAGGGGGCATAGGTGTTCTACAAACATCTCTTTGTTTTAAATCAAGCTTAATGTAAAAATTGATAAGAATAATGCTTTAATTGTCTATTAAGTAATAATTGTGTGTTGAACATGGAATTTTTTACACTCAAGTTTTCATTTATGCATTGTCTATTGACACTCATTCCATTTATTTATCCAGGTACCAGTTGGGGGCATGCATTTACCATATAGTGGACTTCCTGAAATCCTATTTGCAATTCCTTGAAAATGGATTGGACAACAAGGCTTGGACTGAGTCTGACTTCACAACATTACTTTTACAATTTACAACAATTTTCATGCTTTCTCCAAGGTAGGCTTATGCATTTTTACTCAATATGAACAATGGTTCTCTATAAAGTTTGTAGACAATTGTTATGAATTTAATCCCCCCCCCCCCCACAAACAAAGTTTAGGGGGGTTATATTGGAATCAGCTTGTCTTTCTGTCAGCTTGTCCATCTATCTTTAGACAAGTCTCAGATTTTGTTCCGGTCCGCTTCTGAGGAACTATTAGAAGGAATTGTCTGAAACTTTTTAGCTCACCTGTGCCTAAGGCTCAAGTGAGCTTTTCTTATCACATTTTGTCCGTCGTCCGTCTGTCCATCCGTCTGTAAACTTTTCACATTTTCGTCTTCTTCTCAAGAACCACTGGGCCAATTTTGACCAACTCGGTACAAAGCATCTTTGGGTGAAGGGGAATTTAAATTGTAAAAATAGAGGGACTAGACCCTTCACAAGGGGAGATAATCAAGAAAAAGACAAAAATAGGGTAGGGTAATTGAAATTAATTGATACAATGACGAGCATGTAAATCAATGCTGCTTGGACAGGCTGGTTAAAAAGTTAATTTCACATCACTTTTTAATTAATTGAACAGTTTATTAATGTGATTAATTATGAACATTGATCAGGCAACAAGCATAAAAAAGCTTGGGTTAATTAACACTAAATTTAGATTCAACACAGTTTGGTAAAAAACATTTATTATCAATGTACAATTCAACGTAAACAAAAGAAGAAATTAAGATTGGGAATGGTTTCTTGTTGTTGTGTAATGTACTTTGTGAAATAATCAAACTTCGAGCCATTGCTTAGGTGTCTTATGCCCCTCAGTCAAGCCATTGTGTATAGACAAGCGACAGTGCATTGGCAACAGGTGTTAACAGCTGTTATCTTTTGTTTTGTTGATTGTCTCAAGAGTGAAAAAGGTGTGAAAAAAATATTACGGGCGAAAATTTTCTATTATAGTAACCGAAGAAGTATACACTTTTACTTATGATAATAATGTTAGAAATTAACATTCAATTATTAAGAAATGGTTTTGTGTTTTAAACATGTTAAATATCTATCATAAAAAATGGAGTATTATATAAAACTGGTGTTACAATAAATGGCTTGTACTGTACAATCCTGATATGAAATGCCATGTAATTCAGTACACTCGATCAGAATGGAAGTTCACTAATTGCATACTGCAAATAGGAATGGGACTTACATAGTTTGGATTCTGTTTTATGTTTACAGAATTTATTTATGTTGTAAGGACTGAAAGTCTAGATACAATTTTGTTTGATGTGTTCTATTAATAAAAAAACATAATGCAGTGAACTTATAGGTATGCTTACTCCCCTAATTTCTTTCAAATAGCAACAAGGTCAATGAGTGAATGAGTTTGTTACTTTGACTGTAAACAATATGCTTAAAATAACCTTTTGAACCTTCGCAATAACTTTTGAACAATAAAAGATCCACTAATTAAATTCTTTTAAATGACAACAAGGTCAATAACCTTATGACCTTGACTGTGACCAACTTGCATCGAGTGATGAATTAGACATACATTTTCCAGATAATGGGCCAGGTAAAAGCTATGGGTGCAGGTCTATTACCAAGAAACCATAAGCTTACTGTAGTAATTACTTGCGTAATTACGTGAAAATAAAGTTCTTGCGAATGATAAGTGATTTACAGTATATGAACCAAACTTGCACAAGTGATGCGTCAATAGATGAAAACTCTCAAACTTGCTTCAGATGCTGGATTTTAATTGTTTTCATGATGAAGAACTAGTTTGATGTTTATATACAGGTTTATTTCAAAGTATCATTTTTGGAAGTGCACTAAAAATAAGATTATGTGCAAATAAGCAATTCTAATATGCTGTTTTATTGAAAGCCTTTTTATCATCCAAGCAATTCATGTTTGCAACCTGCTGTTACAGAAGTGTATTAAACAAAAATATTTACCAAAATGGATGCAAAAATGTAAGATTTTACAAAAGTTGAGAATACTTTGTCCTTAAATACCTAGCTTATAGGAAAATCAGCAACAGTACACCCAATGACAAAGTTTGAATTAAAAAGATAAACTAGAGGTACTGTGAGCGATGAGCTCACTAAATGATACCCCCCGCCTCCCATATGGTTATAACTGGTGAAAAAGTCCATGTTTTCCTGTGTCCGGGAAACTCAAAATATGTGTCGGATCAAAAAGTAAAATAGGAGGTGCACAATGGCAATATGTAATAACGATTCTGTGAAAGTTTCATTAAATTTCATTCAGTGGTATGAGAGGAGTTGCGGATAAGAGATGGGTACCCCAAAGCGTAACAGACGGACGGACGGACGGACAGACGGACGGACGGACGGACGGACACACATTTGGTTATATATTGGGTACATCAAGTCCAAGTCCTATTGGATACTGCTTATTGGATACAAAAAATGTGTACACACGAGAGAGCATTATTTGGGTAGTAACTGTTCAAATCTTATTGGATATTAATCCTCGTGTCTGTATTTTATTGGGTTTTTTCTTTTTGTTTTTTATTCATTCCAAATTTATTATATATTTAATATTTGCTGGTAAATTCAGACAAGACCGAAAACCTTTGGTTTTGAACCCATATTTTTGTCAATTTCTGTGATATAGCTCTTTTATTGTACCACCTAACTAATTTGTTCTTAGCAATTAGGACATACACTTGTATATATCAAAATATCTGATATTAAAATATATGAATACCTAAGTGCAAAAAAAAAAATGAATTGTGCAAACACAACTCAACACATCTCAGACTCTGTTCAACCTTTCTTGAATAACAAAAATAAGTTTTTAAGGAGAAACCTTTTTGAGTCATGATCAATTAATAATAAGCAAATGCCCATTACGTGTTGGGCAGAATGAAGGTATCCAACAGGCATTGGACAGGTGTCCAATACCTGTTGGGTTGTATTTTGACGAAGGGATTAAACTACCCAAGAACAATTGAACATGTGTGCATTGTCCAATTCTATTTGGGTTTCTTGAATCTCCTCATCAAAATACAACCCAACAGGTAATGGACACCTGTCCAACTCCTCTTGGATATCTACATCCCACCCAATAGGTAATGTACACTTGTCAAATTCAACTTGGCTTTCTTGAATTGCTTCCTCAGAATACCACCCAACAGGTAATGGACATCTGTCCAAATCCTCTTGGATATCTACATCCCACCCAACAGGAAATGGATACTTGTCCAATTCTTCTTGGGTTTCTTGAATCTCCTCATCAAAGTACAACCTATGAGGTAATGGACACCTGTCCAACTCCTCTTGGATATCTACATCCCACCCAACAGGCAATGGACACTTTTCCAATTCTTCTAGGGTATCTTGTTTTGTTTATAAGAATACCACCCAAAGGTAATGACATCTGTCCAACTCCTCTTGGATATCTACATCCCACCCAACAGGCAATGGACACTTGTCTAATTCTTGGGTTTCTTGAATTGCATCATCAAAATACAACCCAATAGGTAATGGACACCTGTCCAACCCCTCTTGGATATCTACATCTCACCCAACAGGTAATGGACACTTGTCCAATTCTTCTTGGGTTTCTTGAATTGTTTCATCAGAATACCACCCAACAGGCAATGGACATCTGTCCAACTCCTCTTGGATATCTATATCCCACCCAACAGGCAATGGACACTTGTCTAATTCTTAGGTTTCTTGAATTGCATCATCAAAATACAACCCAACAGGTAATGGACACCTGTCCAACTCCTCTTGGATATCTACATCCAACCCAACAGGTTATGGACACTTTTCCAATTCTTCTTGGGTTTCTTGAATTGTTTCATCAGTATACCACCCAACAGGTAATGGACATCTGTCCAACTCCTCTTGGATATCTATATCCAACCCAACAGGTAATGGACACTTGTCCAATTCTTCTTGGGTTTCTTGAATCGTTTCATCAGAATACCATCCAATAGGTAATGGATACCTGTCCAACTTCTCTTGGATACCTACATCCTACCCAGGGTTCTCCATGAGCTGTTTTACTGTGTTGCTCCCGACACAGTAAAATTTTCTCCGACACAGTAACGATTCAAATTTCATGCATGCGACACAGTAAAAATTTTGCTGACACAGTAAGAGTTAAGATAAATAAAAAATCCAAACACACAAATTTTCTCTAACTGAAACTTTAATCAAACAATTATACCGTCTTTCATTTCAAAATGTTATAACACTTAATTACTAGGGCTTCACCTTGAGTAATCAATCAATTATCTCCTAGACCCTCGCCGGACTTTACGCATGACGAAACAAAGACAAATAAATTGTTATCACAATTCAATGTACCGGTTAATTGGTAGTTGGCTTGCAATAAAATACATTGTATTATTTCTGAAAAATATTTAAGTATGTCTTTCCTATAGAGCCACGGCACAAGAATTATGTAAGTCAAACATAACATCGTATCGAAGTCATTTAATTGATGTAAATAAATTGCCGAAAATTTTGAAATTTCAGCATGTTCAAGGAACTCTTTAAAATATTTTTACTGTTCTGAAGTCCCTTTTTTGTAATGCGGTAACTAGATCAAGAATACTGATAAATAAACACGGCAAATGTACTTTCAAAAATGTTAAGTATAGTTCGACTATCGGTGAGAATTTCCTCTGATTTTCGGAACGTTTATTCCCCTTTATCAGTATGTTCGACCATACCATTTGTGTAAATAATTAGCGATTTTAAAATAAGCGTGTGCTTGTAATCTTTTGTAATTATAATGAATTGAGATTCAGTTGCGAATTTGTTCGCGAAAATACCGCGAAATATTAGTGCTTCACGTAAACTCTGCAACACAGTAAAATTTCAAATGATGGAGAACCCTGATCCTACCCAACAGGTAATGGACACTTGTCTAATTCTTCTTGGGTTTTTTGAATTGCTTGGACACTTGTCCAATTCTTCTTGGGTTTCTTGAGAATCTCCTCATAAGAATACTACCCAACATGTAATGGACACCTGTC